CAGCTGGGGTGGATTCCTTGGAGGGGTCCCGTCTCGATACCCTGAAGTACGTCGTGTTGCCGACGGTAGCCACTTTGCATCCGGACGAAGGGTTTCGGGGGGAAGTAGCTGATCTTCAGGCTAGTTTACGGAACGTGTACTCGCTCGACTCGAGAGCAATGGTTGGATCTGCTGGCCGAGAAGCCTTTCCTTGGAGGGGAGATAACTCTAGCAACGGCGTTGTCGCCTGATGACCACTGGGCACTCTGTGGACAACTCAGTTGTGGCCTTTGGCAGTTTCTCCATCATCTAACTCTAGGCGTAGATCGGCCGTATAATGGTCAACAGGAGAGTGACCTGCTGGTTGATCATACTGGATTGGCGGCTATGAGCGGAATAAGGACGATACTCTCGCAGTACTTCGCATGCGAGGAATGTACGCGGCATTTCATCGAGGACTACGATAAGTGCCTTTACGGTCGGTGTGTGGGCGGGGATGCCCCGTCGAGGGAGGAGACTGTGATGTGGTTGTGGAGGTTCCACAACGCGGTGAATTCTCGAGTGTTTGCTAGTCAGAGGCCGGGGGAGAACTCTAGGGCAACTGAATGGCCGTCAGCCTCTCAATGCTCGGCATGTGTATCGACAGCGACAGGCGAGTACTCTGAGAAGGTCGTCTATCATTGGATCGTGCAGACCTATCTCGGGGATATGCTCAAGGATGAGACCCTCTACACAGTGCCGTCACCAGTAAGTACAGAATCGTCTCACGTGTGCTTTGTACAGTGTCTCGCCCGTTCCGTGAGGACACCGTCTTTTGGATGGTCGGGGAGTCGACTCGTTAGCGATAGTCTCGATGGGCTCTCTTTTTCCTTCAGCTCCGGTCCATCATGCTGTTGCTGCTATCCTTGATTGGTATTGGTGGGCTGGTCCTCTACCAACTACACCAGAAGCAGATGACATACAACGATCGCCTCGGTAACAGACACCTCAACGAGTAGCTGCTCGTGATGATCCAGACGATGACTGATTGTGAAAAGTGATATTCATGCACCGCTTCGCTCCGCTCAGATTGTGATTGTATTCTGTAATGAACCTGCTTGTTCTGTTTCACCACCGTACTACCATTGCTCCTGTGCACCACTCCCGTTGTGATATTCTATAGACCATCAGTCGAGTGTTGCGTTAGTCAGGCAGTGGTGGTACCTTCCCTCAGCGGCCTAGGTTGGCGATTGTGCATGGGAGTAAAGAACCTTCTGCAGTACCTCAAGGGGTGCACGGCGACCAAACAGAATATATCTGATTTCAAGGGCAAGCGTGTTGGGATAGATGCCATGGTAGGTCGAGGCAGAACGTCGCCCCTTTCGCTGATCATCATTCGCTGGATGTGGGTATAGCAGAGAAGTCAAGGGTCCGTGATACTATTCATGGCACATCATAAAGTCGTGACCACCGCCTTGCTACGCTTGTACAGCCGTCGGGTGGATCAACGGAAAGGTCCCGTCCGTCGTTTCAGTGCTGGATGCATCGCGGGGCAATTGCCTGCTGCTTCGAGCTCGTGTCCGGCCGTGAGAGCGACAAGTTCCTGACGTTCTTCCTCCGCATGATCGCCTTGCTGCAGGGCTACGAGTGAGATTCATCCAGCAGCTGCGTACACAACAATCGGCCGCCTCTTGTCTTAGTGTCACCCCGGTCGTAGTCTTCGATGGCTGCCGTATGCCGGGCAAAGCTGAGGAGGAGATAAAGAGAGGTGAGTACCTCGCCGTCCAGTCCACGTGCTCGAGTTGCTCCTCAGGCGAATCGCGGGCTACTGCGGCGGAGTCGGCTAAGGCTATGATCGATGCCGCTGGTATCACACAGGCCACCCAGATGACGGGCGAAGTTCGAACCAAATGCATGCAAGCTATCAGAATAACTAACAAGATGATAAGGAAAGTAATTTCTAGCTGCGGGTCGCCACCAGGATTTGAACCTGGGACTTTCAGTGGCCGTGTCGAGAGCGTCCTAACCTGTTAGACTATACTGAATGTCAGTCAACGAGGACTCGATTGTGTGTTATCATCCGCTGTTTTGACTTTCCCGAACGCTTAGGTAATGTGCGCCTTGCAAGCTCTCGGAGTGGAGTTCATAGTCGCAGCCTATGAAGCTGATGCCCAACTCGGGTACATGTATTCTGCCGGTAGGTAGATCGGACATCGAGCCGCTCTCCCAGCTGCACTTGCAGGTCTGGTCGATGCTGTGATCTCCGAGGACAGCGACGTTCTCGCGTAGGTGCCAGCTTTCCTGCACTCCCGGACTCTCCTGATGTGTTCAAGGTACGGGTGTAAGATGATGATTGCAAAACTAGACCAGGCCGGGGACTGCCAGGTTGTTGACTTATCCTGGGCGCTAGAGGGCGGCAGCAGTAGATCGAAGGTGCGCAGTTGCCTTTCTCGCATTAGCCGCGCGGACAGTTCGAGGACTCTCAGGAGACACCGCAACGAACCGGGGAGTCGACTGCCTCTAAAGAGCTCCGCGCCAAGTACGGCGCTGACCTGGCTAACCTGAGGGACTGGACCAAAGAGATGTTCATCGACGCTTGTGTGAGCTGGGATGGTAGCCTAGCAACTCGCAGATGCATCCGAGCTTGAGGCAGGTTCTTGCCGGATGTGACTATTCTCATGCATGCAATCTGAAGGGAATGGGTATTAAGACTGCAATGAAGCTGGTGAATAAATACAAAGACTGGCAGCGAACTTTGAGAGCCCTAAAAATAGAGGACAAGTTTAGAAAGCAACTTGCATACGAAAAGTGAACCTCTGGCGCTGCGGGAACGGCGGAACTCTCGGCGGCACGTCCGGCAGGTATGAGACATTTCGTAAGAACTTCGAGCTGGCTCGAGCAGTGTTCTGCCTCCATCGAGTGTTCGATCCAAAAACGAGAACCTGCAGGACAATAACGGATGACCCGAGGTGTCGTTAATGTGCTACATCAAATGTCCGGCGCCAGGATTCGAACCTGGATCTCTCGCTTCTTTAATGAAGGGTGCGAGTGTTCTGACCTGTTAGACTACGCCGGAGTTATTTTTTTGGTGCACTCGAGAAAGTCCCTATGTATCCCGTCTTCATTGAATGTCAAAATGTTACGCATTCATTTCAGCCCGCTGCTAGCCGACAGCGGCAGCCTCCAAGTCTCTGGTGCCTCCATCACGGATGTCGTCGGGGGCCTAGTCAGCGCCGATGTGATGAATGCCAAAATCTGTGCTAGGACAGGCCAGCCCATCGTGAGCAACATAGTAACCCTTCCTCTTCACACAGCCGTACCCCAGGACCTGTCCGCTGCTACGGAGGAGTCCGCCTCCTCCGCCTCTAAGATCGCGGAGGTTCATAGCAAGCGAGTTGCGTTCAATAAGATGGAGTTCGCGGCTTTGACACGGTTTGTCATTTACCGGTCACAATTATACAGCAGTCCCACCACCGGGCAGGTTTCAACAGGAATACGAGCAACTCCGACAACGCCGTGAGGAGCAGCGGAAGCTCGAGAAGCAAACACTGGCGGGGGCTGAGAAAGCCAGAGAGAAGAAGGGAGAGGCGCTGCATGGCCGGGATAATCAAGTGACTGCGGCGCTGATGTTGAAAGTCCCGAGTATCCTGCTCTTGCTAGTTCCTTGCTGGTCTGACTCGAGCACTTGGAGAGCCTTTGGGTCGAGGATCAGAGGGCAAGGCTGTTAGGATGGGCTTGGAAGAGATACCACCTTCCACCTCTCAATCGTCGAGTAGAATCGAGCAATTAGTGGGGATGATGAAGTCCGCCCTCAGGGGCCACGGCCGAGACGACCGTAGAGGATGAGTTCGAGTCTGAGATGCTCGGTGGCCTGTCGGGTATTTCTCCAGCCGAGCCCGATCAGTTGGATGCGGAGGAAGAGGAGTTCGATATGGCAGACTTGCTCAACGAACTGACTGCCAATGACGCCTCCGGTACCGTAGAGTGGTCTGTGCTGCTGCCCTCCGCACGAGCCGGGATCCTTTTTTGAACCCCTTGCAGCGCTGCCGTTCTCAGTTACTAGAGTTGAGGAGAGTGTCAGCTCTAGAGTGAGTGAGCAACCGACTCGCCTGTATTGAATTCCTCGTTATTTTTCGTAGCCTTCCACGTCACACCGAAAGGCGCCGACACGCCGTAAAATATCAGCTAATCCTTTCGCCGCAGCACGTCAAGAAAGTACGACTACGAGCTTGGACGATGGAAAGTGGGGAGAATCAGACACACATGCATCAACCCGTTCGACGATAGGTGTTTGCCTTCCTTGCCGAAGCCCGGTGCGGCGAGGCGAAGTACAGAGGTCCCGGTGGTGAAAAGGAATCGCGAGGCGCTCGGTATACAACTCACGGTCGGCCCAGTCCCTGCTTGACTGGAATTGACCTCAGAAGAAGAATCTTCGGCGAAGAAACCTCGAGCAAGCTTTGCTGTATTCGACCGAGCCACTTGGAGGAAGCAAGCTGCGAAGGGGCCTACTCAAGTCGAGTTGGTAGGGACCGTCACCCTACAATCCTCTGCGCAGTCGCCGACTTTCAGATCACCACTCTCCATACGAAGCTTCCTCCCCCATCTGCCATGCGACGGGCTAGTTGATTGCTCCCTTGTTGATGATGAAGCTGAGCCGACTCTGTACTGAGAGACTTCTGGTGTCACTCAGGACGAGTAGAGAATGAAGAATTCATACTGTACACTACACTGTTTCTGTGCACGGATGCTTTTCAACGGACTTCATTCCAGCCTTGCGTTCATAAACCGGGAAAGCGGAGCTACTCAGCTCATTGAAAATTTTCCGTCGACAATACAACAGTAGGCATGCTCCTGCAAACCTTCAATGGTCAAGTTACTCGCACCCAATTTTCACGTGAGGCGAAATATGAGCGAATAAAACCAAGCTATTGCAGGAACGTCTGAGCGTCGACCCTCACCACATCGAGCCCCGTTGCATCGAAGAGGGTGATAAAAAAACCACCGTTGGAGTCGAAATCACTGAACTACGGCGAGTGAATATAATCCAGCGCCAGGATTCGAACCTGGATCTCTCGCTTGTTTAATGAACGGTGCGAGTGTTCTGACCTGTTAGACTACGCCGGAGTTGCTTATTTGTTTCGATCGCGGGGGTCCTCTGGTAACCCCAGCCTTGTGTGTGTCGGTGTAAAGTCCAACGCCGTCGCCGGCTTGATTAGACTTGATGCCGATGTGCTAGCAACTTAACGATGAGCTCTCTGTTGCGTTATCTAGTTAGCCCGAACCCAGCCTTATCGTGTTAGAAAAAGCGGACAAAGCTAGATGGTTCATTTCGGTTCGTGGGTAGAGGTCCGAGGACAGGATCTTGACGACTGCTTGCGAGTCGGTAAAGTCCCATTCCTCGTCGGCAGCCGTGGCAAGAATCCACTGCACAGCTTTGTAGTACCGCGCACTCCGTGATGGGTGCGTAGGGGGCCAACCTCCAACACCGCGAGTGAACCTACACTCCTTTCCGTGAGATCGCCGTACAGGCGTCTGCCCTCCGATCCAGTATCAGCGGACCGCACCCTGAGGGCGTGTTGTGGGATGGGAGCGCTTCCGTGGCCATTTGTACAAACCGCTTTACTCTGCGCAATCGTCGTTCTCATCCTGGCCTCCCACCGAGATACAGAGAAGGCCTCTCCATCGCCGCACTGTATCAGTGCGGTCTGGTCCGCTGTGGGGTTCCATCCCTTCGACCCGAAGGATGCGGTGCAGGGCAGCCGTGTCCCCGAGTACCATTGTGTAGCTTGAAATGAGCTGGCATGTCTTGGCAGAGAATGAAACACCCGACGATGCTTGCGAGGGTTTTCACGACATCTATATGGACGCACGAAATGAATGAAGACAGCCGTCGTCGGAAAGTAAAAGATGAAAGAAGGCCAGCCAGACGGTTATGTCCCCAACGGATGTCAGCGACGCCGTCAGGTTGCACTGTGGTGCCGGGGCCAATGGAAGGGCTGACCATCTGGCGGCGCTTAGGCGAAGTTCTCCCGAAGATCAACGCCGAAGCATGTCTTGGTGGCTGAACTCTTCCGCCGGTATCAACAGTAGCCAGCTGAGCTGGCCCAGCTCGCTCTGCCCTCCGCTGATGGTTATCCAAGGATCGCGACCTATTGGGAACTGTAATTAAGGATCTCCTTTCTGCGCCTCGCACGATATGCTGTGGGGTCAACGAAATTCACTCCGGCGACAGCGCCATAATATATGACCATGCGCCCACACCGGCGCGTCTTTTCTGCCGCGGACCAGCACGGCTGAGGAGAGCCATGTCCGTCACTGCTTCCAGACAAACCCACGACTCCACCCAGCACGAGGGAAAGGTGACAGGCGGAGTGTCATTTGATGTATACAAGGCGCTCACAGACTTGAACAGACCTGAACTTTGATGCTCTCAGGAAGGCCAGCATGGAGTCCTTGACCAGGGGTCCTTCAGTTAAGCATTCTCGCTCTGGCCTGGATATCGGCACTCCTGTGAGGAGACTTCAAGCAGCAGCGAGGACGGCAGCGGGGATTCACAACAGTGCGGAAACACCATCGTTTGTAGGCGTGTAACGCGGCGCCCTTGAGCAGAAGACGTAGCTAACTGTACCATGAACTGGTCAGTGTATGAAGGACACTTCCAAAGGATTAACGGCGGATAGACACGATCCAGCGCCGGGATTCGAACCTGGATCTCTCGCTTGTTTATTGAACGGTGCGAGTATTCTGACCTGTTAGACTACGCCGGAGTTAGCTTCTAATACCGATCGTGGGAGTCCTTTCGTAAGACGCTTCTTCGAGCTAGCGCCAAAGTAACTCTTGTTGGGTCTTTTTCTTCTCGACTTATCACCAGAATCTTCGACTTCTTCCAAGCTCATCCTTGGCGCGCTGTTGAAGTGGACAAGATTCACTTCGGTCATTTACTTTCCGACCACAGAATTTTTGATTTTCCCATGCGCCCATCATAATGTCATTTGGGACCTCGCGAGCGTCAATGGGCGTTTGCGTCCCTACCAAGACAGGCCATTGTAAGCAGCTCAGTTTTTCGAAGAATGTTCTCCCCTCTTGCCTTTTCGCGCTTCATTTGCGGTCATCTGGATAGGACTTTTTGTTCTCCTCTCATCTCACTCAGAGAAGCAACCCAACAGTCAAATCGTCCAGAAAACAAGGGAGTCACCAATCAATCCTGCGGCTAGGCGCAGACGCTAAAATGACGCTTATCGCCACGTGATTATTCTGCGATAATAAAACGTGAGAGAAAAGGTGATGAGCAGTACAACAAAGGAATACTCAAAGCTTCGCAGCGTGGATGAGCGTCTCACAGTCAACTTCCCATAGCAAGCTATGGCCAACATCAGGCAGAATGACCCGATCGCTTTCACTCGCCAGGGACACTTTCATGTTGGAATATTTACTATCCAGAGCACCCGCGATGAATCGGTCCACCGGAACTTCCGAACAATCAACACTCCAAGCCTGGCTCATCGCCAACATCGACTTGGCCCAGCCAGACGGGTTGGCGTCGCCAACTCGCGACGGTAACCACTGGCCGAAGAACTCCTCAGGTCTTCGGGTTGGCAAGTCGGCAAATACCGAGCCGGAGCCGTACCACTTAGTGAGAAAGAGGCCGAGATCCAAGTTAGGGGACTCTAATTTCTCCGCCCATGCGCAGTCACTCCGCCAGCGCCTCTCCCTTATGGCCGGGCCTCCAACGGCTGTGCTGGCAGCGATGACGATAAGCCGAGTGATGTCACCGGGGGCGCGCCTCGCCCATTCTAGAGCTACTCGGCCACCTTGGGAATAGCCACATACTGTCACTGGTTTATTGTTAAACAGGTCTTTGACCAGACCACGCAGGTTGGCGATGGTCGCCGACATGCCGTAGTCGAAGAGAGTGCTGCCCTCGGACGCTTGCGAGCTGCCGTGGCCCGGAAGGCTGATCGAGACAATGTCGTACTTGGCGGTGAGCTCCTCACAGGCCAGCCAGTCGGAGTAAGATTTGGCGCTTCCCATCCACCCATGCAACAGAACAAGGGGGGCCTTACCAGGACTACCGCCTCGGATGAAACTGACGAGAAAAAGAGACCTTTCGAGCGGCTGAGGCATACTGTAGCCGCTTGCCTTAGCTTGACGCCTGGGTGAAGGCGGAGGCTCTCTTCGACCACCTCGCCGACTGCCGCTGTGATCCGACGCCGAAGGGCAACGTCTTCATCCTGGCTCGTCTTGGGCATCTGAGCACCAGCACAGTTGAGCCATCGTTGACGACTGCTGGAGATCCAGAAATCAAGACTATGGTGGACAGGGGAGGAATCTTCTCTCCACAACCGATATGAAGGTGGAATGCCCGTATCAGCTCCTTCACTCACAATCTCAGTCAATCCACTGTGATGGAGGCTTTCAACCATCCCCGCCAAATCATCGACCTTCTTGCTTCCCCCTAGGCCCAGCATCTTAGCCGCTCCCGCAAAGGCCACTTGGGCGTTGGGAGTCCGGAAATTCTCGTTGTAGGCGACCTCGTCCGAATACTTCCCGATGGGCACAAACTTGAACATGCTGCCACCGTTGTTGTTGCACACCACGATCTTAACGGGAGGAATCTTCACATCACCGACGAAGCCACCACCGTTTAGGTAGTTGGCCAACCTGAGGGAGCGATAGACTCAGTGCGAGGGCTTCGTCCGGGGGACCGTCTACTGGACGAGCGAGTTGAGGTCGTGGATAGCGGCTACGTCTCCGATGAGAAGGTTTGTCGCACGACCCAGGCCCACTGCGTATCCAACTGCCGTGCCTGCAAAGAACGAATGAGGTCGACCCGGCTCACACTGAAGGATATGCGAGGGTGTCTACAGACGACCCATAAGCTGTCAAATTACTCCTCATCAGGGGAAGCTATGACAACAGTGAAGTTCCGGAAAAGTGGTATTGTAAATAAGATATCATGCCAGTAGTATTGGGAGACCTCTCTGCTGTTGGCAGAGTCCGAACGTCTACGCCGGTCAGCGTGGCGGCGGAAGCTGGGTTTCCACGACTGAACAGTCCATGTGTGAGCACGCTAACTAATCTTCATTTTCGTTATGAATCTCCGACAGCCGGCTTCCCCCCGCTCACTTATCGTCCCATCGATTCCACTGACACCTCGACTACAAGACACTCGCGGGAGGTGAACTCCAAGGGGGCACTGAGGATGATCATCATCATCAAGCGAGGCTTATCGTGGAGCAAACTGTCGTGCCGTTCGGGTGTATCAGGTGGTGACACAAGACCCAACACACAAGAGCCCAAGTGTGCCAATCCATGTACCCGAGCACAGCGTAGCGAAGCGCATCAAGAACAAGCCCGTTGCAAGCCACGGCTCCATCCAGAATACAGGATGTGCGTCGTTCACTTACGAAATTGTCGAAGTTGCGGCAGCTCATGCTGCTACTTATGACCATACCCTCCCTCCTATTCGATGCAAAGTTGGCCAAAGACCGAGTGATGTTCGGCTCAGTACCTACGCCCAACCAGTGAGAATAGCGATGATCGTTCTAGTGCAACTGGATGGCTTCTTAGGAGACACTCCGTGACCCATGCAGCAGGCGAGGTACGGTATCAATAAACGACGCACCGACTGCTCCCTCGGGACCTACACTCCTCCCCAAGCTCAGCCTGTACTCTCTTCTCCGCCCTACTGCTGATAGCATAGATACGATCCCTCAGCGAGCGATTGGTCCTCAGTACCTGCGCAGACTACACGGTGACGGGCGTGAATAGAGGAGGCACTGCGGCTCGTACAGCTGGCTCCAGAGTGAGGTCATCGACCATGCGGGCGAACTCAGCGCAGGTCGCATCGACTACAATAGTGCCTGACAACGTCACCCATCCAGTGCGGAAGCAGGGGACTCGGCCCCACTCCCCATCAGCGAGCTCCCGGGAGTGAACGACCAAGCATAGTAGTAGCCGTGAAATGGAATTTAAGTTACCGATACCAACTTTTTCGGAATTTCCAGCTCATGAAGGGCGACCTAGACCGCTGCCTACCGTTCCAGTCAACATCATGTCTCCGAGGCACGTCCATGACTCTGATGTGCTCCTTGACCTGCCACAGGTGGACAACTCTCCTGCAG